CTACATGAAAGAAAATATGTAGCTGTTTTGATGCAGAAATAATAGTTTTTTAAAAAACATAAACGTTACAATGTGTGTGTGTGTTCGTGCGGGGGTGGGGGGAGGCAGTGTTTTTTAAACAAGAAATCTCTGAAGGAAAGTAGTGTCTTTGTTCCACATGTTCCTCTCATTTAATTACTATGATTAATAGACTCAGAAAAATTAATAGAAAGTTTAAATCCAGTGAGATATTAAAGGTCCAAACTGTGGCTATTTTAACTAAGGACTAATCAGCTTGGGCTTTTTGAGCAATACTCTGTGGTGTTTAATAAACTGGTAGGCTAATTTCAAGTGGGAGTATTATACTTGAGAACTGGAGTGGTTTTGTGAATCAAATTTTAAGAGTTAATGCTATGTCAATGCTAAGGACCAGAGAATTAGATATTTATGACAGAAGAGCTTTAAGGAATGGTGCATAATGGATTGTGACATCTGAAACTGCTGAAAATTGATGGTCCAAATCAAAAGGATAGATTAGGAATCTCTGTCGTATGATTACACACCTGTAACTGTGAGAAGGACAGGTGAGAAAAGCAAGGAATACCAAGGATTTTTATTTCAAGGAAGACTCGCAGGATTTGGGGTATCCGTTATCTTATTAGTTTACTCAGTTTCCAACTAACTGAATGGTCCAAATTTGTGAATGAAGATGTTTTTAGTGTATCACACCAAGGTTATGGAACCATTCCAGGACAGTAGGCCAGAGTTTATAATACCTATGCTAAAGGAATACTAAAGGGATGGAATCTGATCTATTTAGAGTCTGATACACTTTGAGTTTCTTATGGTAGTTTGAATCAATATTTAGCTGAATGCTTTTTGTTTATTTATTTGTAGTGTTACCATTTGATCGAACCTATGTAGTTTTATCTTTGAAACTGAAGATTAAATTGGGTGTAAGTTCCACTGTATATTTTACCAAGATTACTTTTAAAAATAACACTTATTATACAAATCCTGATCACATATTTATTACAATCTTCTACCCCATAGAAGTTTAGAGATAGTTAAAAAGTATCCTCATGGGTATAGTTTTATGGGCAGAGAAAATAAAGAACATGTAAAAGTTTATCACATTGAATTATATATAGTCAATAGAAATTATTTTCTGAGTGAAAGTTCTCATAGATATTATGTCAGATAATATATGTATTTAACATAATTCTATTATACTTAGCATAATACTGTATTTACCTGGATAGTTAAAGAAGATTTCTGTAGGATGAAGTTAAGAGGGTTGATAAGAACCTGATATTTGGTAGAGAAATCCCATGATTCGTTAGATTTGTGACTCATCAATGACATATTCAATTACTTAATATTTGTGAATTTCAGAATTTATTGTAAATATGCTTTAGCATATCTTTGTTATTTCATAGTTTAAATCTGATTCTCTTATAGATGAATTTCTGGGTTCTATCTATATTTTTCACGCTACTTTAATTTTAATTTTCAAAAATTGAATTCAGATATCATTTTCCTTATTATATGCTATCAAACAACCCACTCGACTGGTTTTTCTTTTTTTTGATTAGTGAATTTTTATGTTATTACCAGTTTTTACATTAAAATACATTTATATGCCTTAATTTCTCTTAAGTTATATTGACCAAAATAAGAGTATAATTAGTAGACTTGGTATACACTGATTTTTTTTTTGTATAGATGGCTAAATAAATATTGAACTCTTTTTTTTTTTTACTGTTTTTCTTTATTTTTTCCTTTCTAAATCAGTTTTTATTTGTTCATTTATTTTTCTTCCTTTATATTGAGATTTAATTGATATATAGTACTGTATAATTTTAAGGTGTACAGCATAATAATTTGACTCACATACATCATGAAATGATTATAAGAGTAAATTTAGTGAACGTCCATCATCTCATATAAGTACAAAATTAAATTAATAGAAGAAAATTTTTGAGTGTGATGAGAACTATTAGGATTTGTTCTCTTAACTTTTGTGTTTAACATACAGCAGTGTTTATATTTATCATGATTTTTACATTCCTAGCACTTATGTATCTTATAACTGGAACTTTTAGCACATTTTGATGGTCTTCATCCAATTCCACCCCCCCTTTTTTTGGTTTTTTTTTACTATTTTTAGATTTTTGACATGTATGTAGTCAAACCTTACTCTCCTATTATTTCCCTTTTATTCATTCTATTAATTTGTGTATGAATTTAATATTTGCTAATATGTAATATAAAAGTGGAAAAAACAGATAAGGGAGTTTGTCCTTATGGAGCTTATAAGTCTAATGCAGGAGATAGCCAGTAAGTAATTAAACAATATAACTATGTATACAGTTAGTTCTAAGAAGGAAATAAACAAGACAATGTAATAGAAAGTCATTGTGTCAAGTTATTTTAGATGAAATGGCCAGAGAAGACTGTATGTCGAGGTGACATTGCAGCTGAGAGAAGGATGAGAAAGAGGCTGGCAAGTCAAGAGTTGGGGAGATAAGCTCACAGGGCAGAATGATGAAAAAGTAGATAGGCATACTAGTAAGAAAGGGTTTGGTGGGTTCAAGAAATGGTCAGTGTGGCTAGGGTAAAGTAAGGGAGTCAAGGTTGGAACTGTAGGTACAAGTTGGCTATTCAAGAGTTCATACCTGTGATAAGATGTTCAAATTATCCAGTGATTTTTAAGTAAAAGAATGAAGCAGCTTTCTTAAAAGAGAAATGGAGTTGAGGAGGTTTGTAATGCAGTGGTTTTAATGATGGATCATGGAATCATTAAGCCTGGGAGGAGGGAATGATGGCAGGAAAGAGAGGATGGATAAGGGAAAGGACCATAACTTGTTGTAATGGGGTACAAGAGTAAGTGAGCTGAAAGGATGAGGTGGTGTGGTGAATTCCAGGTCTAGGGAGGAGCCCTGAGGGTGGGTACTGGAGATGGAGAGACATAAGAGAGGTTGATGAGGAAGTCAAGGACCTGAACACTGGGTGAGTCACATGTGTAGATTTTGCTGTTACACAAGGAGAGGTGGGAAGGAAGATGAACCAGAAACCATGTCTTTAAAATGCCTGGAAGGTGGTTTTATGAAAGCAGTGGGGGATGTAGTAGGTGGTATAGCTTGATGATAGAAGCTTCAAATAAGCTGAGATTTCTGGAGGGAAAGAGAAAACTGATTTGGTAGTAGCAGCAAAGAGGAGCAAGGTGGACATGTAAACTACTGCTACGTCTTGAAACATTTTAGAAAAACAAGTTTCCAAATCAGAGGTAGGATGATGGTGGTTATTTTCAGTCAAATACAGTCATGTCTCAATACTCACTGATTTACACCCATATGTATTTCTGAACAATTTAGCAAGGATGTATTTCTGTGAGAGCAGGGATCATGTTTGTTTTGTGGACTGTTGAATCATCGGAGCCTAACATATTGTCCTCTTAGTAAATACAGTTTGACTGAAATTAATTGACTAAATTGTAAACTGAGTTTCTTGTTTTTCTTACTTTGATTTTAATTTGCAAACTAAGAACAATGTACTTATTTTCTGGCTTTATTTCTAATTCTTTTTCTTATATTCTATTATAGTATATGCTCATATTTTGACACGTTCTAATTATTGTCAAATTATAAACACAATATCTTTTTGACGCTTCATAATCTGTTATATGGAATTTAACACATTTCCCACTAAACTCATTTCAGGACATATTTATAGTTAGTGCTTGTTGACACAATTTTACCCTGGTTTCAATTTATGTGATCCAGATTTTCAAGTGAAACCTTAAGGAATTATCAGATTCCTCAGTAACATTCAAAACTTCTATAAAATATCTTCTGAGTTGTCAGAAATTTATTTTGGAAAGAAAAAATATACTGGAAAGAAAATTCTACTTTAATGTGTGTTATTTTGGATAAAAACGTCTATAAGTTATGATTTACTGTCCTTTTTGTGTAAAAATGCAAAGGTTTCTTTCCCAGAGTTTATTTTCAGTGTTTATGTTGGCCGCTGAGGTTAGGTTTGTGTAAGGCAGTGAGTTTAAGTTCTCCCTCATTTTTCTCTCCATCCCCCCTTCCTTCTTTCTTTGTTTTCTTCCTTCTTCATTAATTTTTATAGATAACACACCTCACATTTTTCTTGTAGGAGGAGGGGATGATTGCTCCATTCTTAGCCCACTCAAATATCTCAGCCTTGAAATAAAAAAAAAAAAAGATTTACTAACGTTATCTATTGTGGGTTTTTTTGTTTTTTTTTTTAATGGCCATGACAGCAGCATTTTCCTGTCAGGCCTGATTTTTAAAAAAATTAATTAATTTATTTTTGGCTGCGTTGGGTCTTCGTTGCTGCGCCAGGGTTTCTCTAGTTGTGGCGAGCAGGGGCCATTCTTTCGTTGCGGTGCTCGGGCTTCTTATTGCAGTGGCTTTCCTTGTTGCAGAGCATGGGCTCTAGATGCGCAGGTTTCAGTCGTTGCAGCCCATGGGCTAAGTAGTTGCAGCTCACGGGCTCTAGAGTGCAATCTCAGTAGTTGTGGTTCGTGGACTTAGTTGCTCCATGGCATGTGGGATCTTCCCAGACCAGGGTTCGAACCCGTGTCCCCTGCATTGGCAAGCGGATTCTTAACCACTGTGCCACCAGGGAAGCCCTATTGTGCTTTATATAATAAGATAATATAAAGAAAACTTGCTGTTTTAGCATTTTAGTTTTAATTTTTTTATTAATTTTTATTGCCTTTACAATGTTGTGTTAGTTTCTTGCTGTACAGCAAAGTGAATCAGTCATAAGTATACATATATCCACTATTTTTTAGATTTCCTTTCCATTTAGGTCACTACAGAGCATTGAGTAGAGTTCCCTGTGCTATACAGTAGGTTCTCATTAGTTATCTATTTTATACATAGTAGTGTATATATGTCAGTCTCAATCTCCCAATTCATCCCATTGCCCCCTTCCCTGCCTTGGTAACCATAAGTTTGTTCTCTACATCTGTGACTCTGTTTCTGCTTTGCAAATAAGTTTATCTGTACCATTTTTCTAGATTACACATATAAGCGATATTGTACATTTGTTCTCTTTTTGACTTACTTCACTCTGTATCTGCCCTCCAAAAGGAGGAACAGGTGAGGATTATCCTACCTGATGATTTTTTTAGCATTTTATTTAATTAGTTAATTACTTTATTTATTTTTAATATTTATTTATTTGGCTTCACCAAGTCTTTTTTTTTTAACATCTTTATTGGAGTATAATTGCTTTACAATGGTGTGTTAGTTTCTGCTTTATAACAAAGTGAATCAGTTATACATATGTTCCCATATCTCTCTCCTCTTGCGTCTCCCTCCCTCCTGCCCTCCCTATCCTACCCCTCTAGGTGGTCACAAAGCACTGAGCTGATCTCCCTGTGCTATGCGGCTGCTTGCCACTAGCTATCTATTTTACGTTTGGTAGTGTATATATGTCCATGCCACTCTCTCACTTTGTCCCAGCTTACCCTTCCCCCTCCCCATATCCTCAAGTCCATTATCTAGTAGGTCTGTGTCTTTATTCCCATCTTGCCCCTAGGTTCTTCATGACCTTTTTTTTTTTCCTTAGGTTCCATATATACGTGTTAGCATACAGTATTTGTTTTTCTCTTTCTGACTTACTTCACTCTGTATGACAGACTCTAGGTCCATCCACCTCACTACAAATAACTCAATTTCGTTTCTTTTTATGGCTGAGTACTGTTCCATTGTATATATGTGCCACATCTTCTTTATCCATTCATCTGTTGATGGATACTTAGATTGCTTCCATGTCCTGGCTATTTAGCATTTTAATACTGGTATTTTACTAAATTTTTGAGTAATTGATAACTTGTCGACTTCTCATTACTTTAAAATATTTCCAATAATTTAATAGTAATTGTACAATTTAAATTAATTCCAGTTCCTATGCTAAATACACAGAGACTAATAAATTGTTGTTGAAGGAATAATTACAATAGTTTCATTCTAGAAAAGTTTTCCAGTTATTCTATAGCTCTGTAGATTGATCCAAAGATGCCTCAACTCAAGGGAAAGACTATATCTATATTATATATAATTGTATATATATGTATAATTTTTGCATTTCTGTCCCTTTTTATATTTATTTATCTACCTATTAGCTCCATATTTCTAGTTTTTGTTAGGGGAGATCCTATTTTCAAGTGTTTCCTATTCTTATGCTTTTTCTTCAGAGCTATCTGTTTGAGATTTATTGTATTTTTAAAGAAAAGATATGTAAGTGTGATATAATTATTCTTATGTTTTGGTAAAAAAAAAAAAGAACCTAAGATTGAAAAGTGCCCATCAGTGTCTCTGATGGCAAAGCCTAATGTTAGGCATTTATCATAAATGCCTAACGATCAGTATTTAATCAGTCTATAATTAAATATATAATACTGGCAGCAGATATCACAGGCTAGGTAAGAACCAACTTGTAAAGTGTTTAAAATGTGATCTTCGATTATTGAAACCCAGAGACATGTCATTTGTGGTTGTGATCATATATAGGAAATTGTATCGTTCTCTGCATAACACTTCTGTAGAATTTTAATGTGAAATTTTAAAGTGCTTTTTGCTAAGAGTTTAGTGTCTTTTTACTACTTGTGTTAACAGATTTCTTTCAGGAAGAAATGGATGATAATCTTATTTTGTTTTAGCTGCCTTAAACATACTTGTTTCGATCATAGAGGCTGCACTAGTCATTGTGACCTCTCATTTCTTCCTCTATATTCCTGATCTTGATGAAGAGCCCCATTCACCCATTATCCACACCACAAGCCATACCATGGAGCCCGCTTTTACAGTTGCCATCCACTCAGCCACCAAGTGCTGTGGGTATTGCCTCTGACATCTTTCTAAAAGCCTTCTGCTTCTTTCCAGTCCTACAGCCATTACCTTCATTCAAAATCTAAATATTTCTTCCTTTGATTTCTGAACAGCTTCTTAAGTTAGTCAGTCATCTGCCACCCTTTCTTCCTTCTCCCATTCTCACATCTCTGTTGCTTAATATTCTCCTAAGGATGCCATGGTCTCCAATTTAAAGTTTATATGGGAACTTTCAGTAAGGCAGGCATCTCCTTTATAATCTGGTCCCTGTTCATCAGCCCAACTTAATCTTTGACACGCCTCGCATTGACACGCTGTGCTCTTGCCACGCTGAGTGCTTTGTGGTTATTGCACAGTGAACTTGCATACACTTTCTCAAAGGTTGCCCCTTCTGCCTCCCTTCTCCTAAACTTCCTATTATTTGCATGGGCAACATGTCCTCACCTTTTAAGAATTTCCTGAAATTATCCCCTGATGTCCTAATCTTTTAACAGTCACCACTCTGGGCTACAGAGGTCTTTGTGTTTATGTTGTTTATCACATGATGTTGCCACTGAAGGTTTGTGGCTGTTTCCCATCATGGGCTCAGGTAGCTCTGTGGAGAGCTCAGGGGAAGCAATCTTGGAAGGGGGCCAAGGAGACTTGTCTCTAAGATGCAGTGGCAGCGCAGTGTTTTACTTAGATTGTACTGATTCGAGATGGTTTTAGGGAAGCTCAGAGATATTACCAAGGAAAGGCAAAGGATGAGGGATGCTAAGCGACTCCTGGCACCACTGCTGCAGTTTCCTCCACAATGGAGTGAACTCCTGGAAAACGGGGGCTATGTCTGTGATCTGTGTGTCCCCTGAGCACCACATGGTGTTTGGCAAACAGATTGTCTGCTGGTACATAGTAGGTTCTTATATGTTAAGTGAACCGGGGATCCTAGATGCTATTCATGGAACCGTATTAAATTGCTTTCAAAAAATAATTTCTCTGTAGCATTGGAATCTATTTAAAATACATCCTTTTTTCCAAATGAAATGTCTGATCCATGCTATTTGATTAAGATATGTGGGCTCAAACAGGATTCCCAAAGTGTTGCCACGTGTATGTAAATCACACACGAATAGCTAGTCTAACATTCTATTCACTAAGGGAGATTTAGTGAAAGGAATCGCTTTGGCCAGTGCTTTTCTGATGGAGGAATACATCAGAAATATTAACAGCCAGCTTTCTCCATTTTAGGCTGCCATTTTTTCCTAAGAGCTGCTACACATCAAGTATACCCAAATTGCCTTTCTGAAATACGGGAACACAAGTGTACTGTCAGTAAAATGGTCTGTGTTGATTATTTTGTCTTTGGGGTACAGTTGACTCATCAGATGATGGAGATGCTGCTGGCATTTCACGCAACCTGCCGTGGTGTGCTGGCTTTATTGGCTTCCTAGCAGCGACACTGACACAAATTGTCAGATTTTATGGGCAGTTTTAAACCTAATGAAATACATCCTCAAGAAACTTCCCTCACCATTTTAGTAGCTGTACAGTTTGAAAGAAAAGAACTAAGGTACACAACACATGATAGTTCAGGACTGAAATAATGGAAGACGGTGACAACATGCTTATTTTGTTCTTGCACATGGTGTCATTACCTGCACGATGGGATACTGATGCTGTCTCAGAGGCTGGCATTAATCTTTGTGCCAAAGCTTGCAGAAACCCTGCATGCATTCACTGACGCAAGCGTTGCTGTCCATCTTTTTGATCTTAAGATTACTCCTTTGGGATATAAGGTAATATAAGGCTGCCAGACTTTAAAAAAAGAATTCAAAGTTAGTGAAGGTAAGAGATGCTCATTTTCTTCCAGTACTGAAAATTAACTACAGAGCCACATAAGAATTTACATCCATCATCCTATTTCATCATAACACTGGGAGAGTGGAAATATAGTTAGTCTTATTATACCAACGAGAACTAAAAGTTTTGCTCGTATTTGGTCCCAGGTCTACAGGAATCCAAAGATGTAGCTTTAATTAGTACTATATAGAGTCTCCTAACAAAGCAGTTGTTTTACTAAAGTCTTGCTGTTTGTTCAATCTAGATTCAAAAAAATTCTATCTCCACATGTAAAGGAATGCTGAGAAAAATATGCATTCAAAGATACCTTATCTTTTCATTTTTTCTACCTCTTAAAGTATTCCCTAAATAGCGATAGAGTCAAGATCTGTATATTGCCAGGACCTTTGGCGGGGAAAGATGACTTTTTGGATAGAATCACTTGTAGGAATTTTCCAAATGATTCACACAGAATCAACTTAATCTTCTGGAAAACATTGTAGGGACCATAAATACATATTGTACCCAGGATGTAGAGTGCTTACTGCAGTGTGGTCTGTGATTTTTTTTTTGGGGGGGGTATGCATAACCCAAAGACCTAGCTAGAAATGGCTAATTTTAGCACTTCTACTATGAAACAGTTTCCTACAAGAGAATATCTTCATTCATATTAAACATACCAGTATCTCTACCAACTACAATTAATTAAGAAAGACATGCCATTGAAATCTCACCTGGTGGTGATGAGGAAACAGTCGTCTCCACTGGGTGTCTTTGGAGAGTATAGAAGTTAACTCTTTAGTAAAATACTCATTTAGTATAAAAATTGCCTATAAAATGCTTGAGCCAATGTAGAAATAAGTTAATTATCTTCCCACCCAGACCACAATCTCTCAACTATTAGGAATTCTCTCTCTTTTTGCTTCCAAGGACTTTGGAGTTACGGCTGAAATTTTTTAAAATACTAAAACTGGAATTTATTTCTCAAAATAAGGTATAAAAGGATTCTCCACTTGTCAGAAGGATTCATCTTACAGTTTCTTATTGATTTTTTTTCCACGAATATATTCAGAGCTTGTAATTTTATTTTCCCAACTTCCGTTCACACAGATTTTCAAGGGTACCACAACTGCAGAAGATAAAGCATGCTGCTGTTATTTATGTGTCATAGATAGTAAAATTGAGTCACAGTGTCTTGCCAAGAATGACAAAAACTCAATACTAGGGTCAAGGTTGCGGCTCAGATTCTTTAAAAACTGTGTTGTGACTAGTTTTTCAAAAACCTCAAAATTTTGCCAAATATTCCACAACTTCTTCTAATTGGGATAGTTATTTTTAAAAAATCACAACGTGCTTAATCCAAAAATCCAGGCTGGAGACAGACATTAGAGTGAGTCTTCAGAAAAATGAAGAAATAAGTTTTTTGAAAAGCATAGAGTTATTAATTAAATATTTGACCTTTTGTGGCTTC